CCTTCTATCAGACATGGAAAACGCTTCGGAAAATTTGACGAGTGCTCCTGCTGCTGCGAATACGACTGGTACTACGGGAGTTCCGACTGCTCTTCCTCCTGCTCCGACTTCCACTGGTACTCCAGAAGTTCCGACTGGTCCTGCGACTCAATCTACTACAAGATTCCTTCAGGAAAGGATCCTTACTCACCTCCTGAAAACGCAGGAAGAGTTTGATAAGGAGTTTGACCCACACACTTCGTGGTCTGAACAAAGGGGATTATTTAGTGATTCTCTAGACCGTCCACTACATAATATGCAGGAGAGATTTGATGTTTTAAAGTATAATACTAAGGGAGTGGCGAAAGAACAAATGGCGTCTTTGAATAAAATACTTGAACACGAAAAAAAATAAGATTTTTGGTCTTCAAAAAGCAGTTCAAGGGATTAAGAATATGGCACACAACGAGAATAATCTGACAGGCCACACAACAAATCAACCGAAACTCTATTCCTTACAATAATTTCCCGAAAATTTTATGACATGCTTTTAATTTAATCGTGTGCCTAATTCAATATATATGGTGGAAAGATCGTTCTCTCAGCTTCGATCTCTTCTTCTCACAGTGGCAAGAGGATGATAAACACTCGCCGAGGGGGTTTTCCGATCCACGCGATTCCGGTGATCGTCTTTCTCTGTTTCTTCACCCTCTGGTGTTTCTCCCACTCAGGTTAACTTTCTCTAATCTTTCTCAATTCCGTTTTCGATTCCAAGAAAAGATTCAATCTTTCCCGAGAAAATTTAGTCAAGAAAAGTTCTGATTTTTTCGTTTCTCAATGGTTCCTTTCACAGTGAGCGTTGACATGAGAGATAATGTCCGTACATCGTCTTGAGAAATCCATGGCAGTGAGAAACGAATCTCATGTCAGTTTGGCAGTTCTTGCTTCCTCTGCAGTTTCACCAGTCTCTGCCAATAATCTGACAGTTCATCACTCAATCTGACAGAATCACCGGAGCACAACCAACAGCGACCACAGAACAGGTTCTGTCTCAACCAGGAATCACCGGAGCACAATCAACAGCGACCACATAACATGTTCCGTCTCAACCAGGAATAAATGAAGCACAACCAACAGCGACCACAGAACAGGTTCCGTCTCAACCAGGAATCACCGGAGCACAATCAACAGCGACCACAGAACAGGTTCCGTCTCAACCAAGACCTAAGACCAGAAGTTCAACTACTGCTGCTGCATCAAATGCTACACCAGTCCGTAGTTCAACTACTGCTGCTGCATCAAATGCTACACCAATCCATATGACAAGAAGCTCAAGTGCTGCTGTTGCTGCATCACAAGCTCCTACAAGTGTACTTAGGCGTGAACCAGCTGCCACTGCACAACGAGGTAAACCTAGGAAAGAAGCAACTAGCACTGGAATAAGTGTAGGCAAGACAAGTGCCAGTGGCTCACGAAGGGGTGGAAGAGCAAGGGTCTCTACGAGGGAGGAAGGAACGAGACAAGTACCAGTGCAAGAGGAAGAGGAAGAATCAGAAGGGTCTATTGAATTTAGAAAGAATGTGTAAAAAAAAGTCCAAAATGGTCTATTAGTAAGAGTTTGTCTCTCTTTGTTACTCCACCGGCAGTTTCTATTATGGGTGCTTGTNTCTCCTAGTTCATGCTTATGGAATGTCTGCTCAGGCAGCAGACATGATCGTTCTATGTTATCCCAGTGGTGTTCAAATGGTTGGATTTTAGTACATGATCTTGCAAGTGGGCAATGAGTGTTGAATTTAGGGCTTGAAACTCTTATGTCTCTCGATTTAGCACTGCAAAGGGCTAAATCCTTTGAATTTTCCTCCATTTGATTGATGCAGGGTGCTAGCAGTTAAGACAATCTGATAAATTCTCTGAATAGTCTGGCACAGTTGTTTCGTGCTCTACAAAGTTACCGGATCGTAAATCTAGTCTTGCATTCAAGAAGTTTGCCAAACAAATCTTTCTTGTTCATCTCTGCTCCATTGATCTCTGATTTGATTTCAGGTTTTTTACCTGTTTTAGAATAGATAAGCTTTCTTTTATTCGTTCACAACCTCTGCTATTTGTTGGATTCTATATGTGCAGCGCTTTTGTTCAGGAGTTTCCTAATCGGGAACATGCTTGGGCACTGGAAGATCTATATGTAGTTTGTTATGAAATTCGAGTTCTTGCAGAAAAGGTAGTCTTGAACTTTTGTTGACTTCTGAGAGTATGATTGGTTCCCAATGGAAATGNATTCTGATAAAGAGTTGACCTCTAATGGAAAATCTCCTGAGGGATTAAAAGCGGCTGGATCTCTTCTCATGAAGGTTTTTGGAGTCCTTNCTGTACGTTGCCCTATCTGTCTCTCTATCTTCAGGAATTTTTGTTTGCTCTTGTGTTGAGTTTCTCTGTTTGTTTTTAGGGGAGAGGTCCAAAACGAGTCCGGAGCATTATATGTGACTTGCCAATTGTTCAAGACCTACTTCAAGGTGATCGGCTTTCCGACGACAGCATTATATTCTTTGATTGCAAATGATTTACATTCACTCATATATAAAAATTTGGAGTGTGATCAACCATTGATTGGAGCTTGGGAGCACTCAATCTTTCTCGGAGTGTAATAAGAAGTATCTATGACTTTGAGGAATTTCCAAGAACGGCCAAGGTCTTTTGCAACTCTCTTATAGCCTATTTAGCTTTTTGGCTTCCCGATTTGCTTTCATAATATCTTTTATCTTTTTTATCGTCACATACACCGCAGGTTACATATATGTATTAAACCGGAAGATTGGAAGTCTTCAACGGAAATTTTCCTGCTGTGAGTCCCTAAGAGACTTGTTTTTCATCCGTCTAATTTCATTTCATAGGATTAGTCAGAATATTGATTGTGGCATTTACTATTCTTCGTTCTTGCANGCTGATAAAAAAACTAGCATATGCCTTGCAATATTGCAACCCCAACAGAGAACGGAATATAAGGTATGATTCTGCTTTACTCTGGCATTGCGTTGCTTAATGAAGCTTATGTGGCTTCTGAGGATTAGGATGATATACCCGTAAAACTCTCATACCAAAAGATGAGCTCTTGCAAAATTACAATCTTCATGACATAACAACTTTCCTTTTGTTCTATAAAATTCTCTTTAGTTCTACGTCAAACTTATTTCGCATCTGTGGGTGCATTATGTATCCCCTTCTCTACGCGTCCAGTGCATAAAGGTTGTGCAAGCTCTGATAAAAAGTGATCTCAGGCTTCTCCGACATGCTCTTCAAGAACCATGAAGATGGGTATGTCTTTCTGTTGACATCTTCTTACTCTACTTGTCTACATTATGTCAAGTCCTCAGCATTGTAATTAGCGTAGGCGTACTTGTGTACTTGTGTTGACAGCTCANCAACAAGCGAACAGGTTAAAAAGAAAGTTGGGGCAATTGGGTCGAGAGTTAGAGATGCTCTCATTAGTCAAGCCTCTCTATGACGTGTAGTTATGTGGTCAATTGCATAAAGGAGCTTATCGGTTTGGATTATATCACCGAATCGATGCCATACTCTTTGATCGGGTGTTAGAGGTCGGGCGTGTATCTTGTCTTGGAAAAGCTGGAGCTCCAAGTCTACTAGAGAGCCATGAAGAAACTGTAAGAAGTGTTAATAGAACACAAGCTATCCATCCCTTGCAAGTTTTCAGATTACTTTAGTTTNGTATGCTTTTGTTAATGTTCCAGTTATATCATCCAGAAGCTGACTACTCCAGTGCGAGCTCACTAGCTGAAGCTTGAAGAAATTGCAAAAGGANTTAGATGGCTGGAAATGGGCATGGATCTCGACGAGGTTTCTCATTTTTATCAGTTGCTTTTCTGCGTGTTTCCAACCTACTGGAATGATTTCTATAACCTCACACTTCAGACAATATTTTTTTCAGGTGGAATGTATAATGACGGTCCTGATTTACAAAAAACTTGTGAAAAGGTTATTTGGCACACAAGAGCGAAGTGGTAAGTATTAAGCAAGCAAGATCCTTTCCCTGATTTAAANTGGAAGCCGGCGGGATCATAGATACCTTCGCATGGAGGCCCTGTGAATTGCGGAATTTTTTGTTGTTGTATCAAGAAACCATGTTTAAACTCTAGCTTGATCTCATATTACTTCAAAATTCTTTGTGACAAACTGTGGGATTTTATTTGGCATAAGAAATGGTGGAAAAGTAATCAATTAGAGCATTCCGATTGGACAATTTATCACNACTGAAATCAATCAAACGAAGATGAGACCTTTAAAGTTTTCAAAAGAGTATGGTTCTTGAAACTTGACCATCAATAAAACGAACAAGTTCAGTTTAAGAACANAGAAAAGAACGATACAAAACCCAAGAGACTATAATATGAATTTCAGACAAAGATCTTTTCAGGCAGGGAGATCAGATGGAAGTGTGTTTTTTAATGTTGTAAGGCATCAAGATGTTGAAACCATCAGCAGCAGTTGTGCCAGTGAAGTTCCATCAAGTCCGTTTCCCCCAAAAAACGATGTTTTCGGTCAAAAAAGAAAACAAAACATTGATCGAATAAAGCCCGAGCTAAAGACATTATAGTAAAATGTTGCCTGTTGAACAAAGAGAAGCTGAGGAGGCAAGTACTGAGGTGCGTTAACTTGTTCTTTGGTCTGGGCTTTGAACTCTGCTTCTTCTTCCTCATCTTTCTCTAAGGATAAATCCCAGATACACAGGTAGCAAAAAACCACTTGGCAGTCGATGAAGTTTTATAGGTATTAGAGTATGTATAGTTGGTTTGGTTTACTCTTGGTTTAATCTCTTGTATAGTTTGGTTAGTTGTTGAGTTGTATATAANCCTAATCATCATCACATTGTAAAGTTAAGTTGAGTGTTATACAGAGATTATCTTTTCTCTTCTTCTTCATCACAAATCCTCTCAACTTCCCATGGAGAATTCTCAATTGCTAATATGGTATCAGAGCTAAACGAGATCTTNCATGGCTTTGATTTCTGTTTTCTTCTTCGATTGACTTGATTTCTCGGATCTTCACCGGAAATCTCTTCGATTGGATTTTTTTTTTGTTTGTTCAGCTTCCGCATTCACATAGATCTTCATCGATTCATCAATATCGATCGATTTGTGTTCTTTGTGTTGATTAATCGGTTGGTTTCTAATCGATTTCATCTTCTTCGGCTTGATCCATCAACCAAGCTTGAATTTCAACAAATCTTCATCGAGCCCCAATCTCTTCAAAACGAGCTCCAATTTCTTTGAATCGAACTTTGATATCTTCATCTCTTGGCTTCATTATCAGATTCGAGTTCTTTAAATTTGATTTCGAGATTGGCTTTCCTCGATAATTCTGATTTGTTTCTTTACTTCCGCTTGATTCGAATTTCAATTTCATCGATCAAGTTTGGGTTTGTTCACTTCACGTTCCATATCTGTAGTTTTATCGAGTTCAGATTTCATGTTTCCTGTGCGATTTGTGTTTCAGTCCTGAGCTCAAATCGATTTCAATGGTGAAACGGAACTGTAACTGCAAGTATCAGGCAACTACACCGGATCTAGTGAAGATTTCTTCACCAAAGGCTCATGATGATCCTTTTGGTTCTTCGTCACCTCGACTTGCTTCTGATTGTCCGGGCCAGAGTAATTTCAGAGGTTTTACACCGGATTCAACGGTTATCACATCTCCGAAGACTCGCGATAAGCCTTATGGCTCATTGTTATCTCGCGGTTGGTCAGATGTTCTAGATCGTGCAGATTTTCTGTCGATTTCGTGGTTTTTCCTCGGTTGTTACACCAATCGTTTCACAGCTGCTTCGATGGTGAATACTCACAGCTTGTGTGCTTGGAACTCCTTAACTCTTGAAGATGTTTCTTCAGTTTCAGTCCATCTAATGCATTTAACTTCTGTAAATGCGATTGATCTTATGGCTGATTTTGTGATGGAGTGGTATGCATTGTTTCCTGGTTTGGTTGAGCTCATTGTTCCACCAGGAGTGATTCTCCCATATGGTTCTCTATCAAGGCCACAGGAGAATTGTTTTGCATCCTGTTCTTGGCGCATATACAGTGACATGGTATGTGACTCACTATTTCTCTTCGCTAAGTATATAGATTCTGGAATGATCTTTGTAGATTCTGGAATTTGGAACTTGGCTGGTGATGTTATTGTTGCGTTCTGGCATTTGGAATGTCGATATGCTCTTAGAGAGGGGGAGCTTTGGTTAGATGATTATAGGCATTTGGAACATCTTGTTTTCCAGCTCAGAGTTTATGCGCATCTTGTTTCAAGAGAATGCAATATGTATTGCTTGATGCTCCTTTCTCCTCTCTGGATGCTCACAAGACTAAGATGCTTATGTTGCTCATCTCGAGAAGCTGCTTCTGAAGTTTGTCTACATGTTCACAAGCTTTTGTTTGCTGCTTCCGTCATGCATCTCGTCGCACAACAAACGTTTCTGCAGGTAACTGTTCATTGTCGCAGAACAAAGTTTTATGGTCCTGGATTCACTACCACTGATGAGCTGCGGCTGAAGCAGAGTTTGCCTCATGTTCTACAAAGACAGCGTCGTATGCTTTTGGCTCGTTCTGGTTGGTTCATCTCTATTCTCGAACTCCTTTACTGTTCTTTACCGAGACCACCAGAGGTTCCTTGTGATTCATGTTGATCTTTTGATTTCCCCACTCAGTTCACATAGTTTTCATGTCCAAGATGCAAGTTCCTTACATCTTGAGGGGGAGTATTAGAGTATGTATAGTTGGTTTGGTTTACTCTTGGTTTAATCTCTTGTATAGTTTGGTTAGTTGTTGAGTTGTATATAA